ATTTATTTATTTATTTAGTTTAGTTTATAGTGTATGAGGTTTTGAAGGCTCTTCTGCAGTGTTGGGTAAGGTTGCTTCTCAGCTATGCTGCAGTGGATGTAAGCTTGTAGAGAACACAGACCTTCAAAAGCTGTGCTTCAATACTGTGTCCTACTGTGGTGGAGGTGTTCAGCTTTCAGTTCAGTGATCCGTTTTTGTTCATGAGGTAAGCTTCAGATCAGGTGGTAGAATGTTGGAATGGATTGAACACTCTCGTTTCTTAGTACTCAAGCTTCAGTTTGCCAGGAAGAACATCTGAGAAGTTGGGAAAATGTCATACTCCTTTCTTTCTTTCCCTCACTTCCCTTGGCTTGGATTCAGATTAAAACATAAACATCTCTATCATGACGTACTCTTAAACTGGCATTTCACGTAATAAAATTATAGGGAGGAATAATTTCCAAAGTTCAAAGTAGATTCATTTTTGTTTGCCATTGTTGAGACTCTTACTAGGCATCCATTCATGCATGCCGTCTAGTTTGCTACTCCCTTGATTCACAGCTGTCGTTTTCCAAAGGAGGAAATCTTGTGTCTAGGTTAAAGGAAAGAGCAGGATCCTTACCACTTAAATGTGCAAATTTGGGGTAGTATTATACAGCTATTGTCCATCCCTAAATAGAAGACTTGTGTGTATTTACGGAAAGCTTGCTGAGAACAGCTAACAGCAATTGTTTCAGAAGAACATGGAAGCCTGTTCCATGACTCAGTTTTCATCTTGGCTTGTTTGACTAAAACAAATGTTTTTATGGTGGAAAAGGAAGTGAAAACTAGAAATGTCCTAGGTAAAGTACACACCACCTTGTTAGCAGACAAAAAACAGAAAAGCAAATTGGAATATTTTGCCATTTCCCTGCTGATACAATAATCACTTCAAAAGCTGTAAATCCAAGAACTTTCGTTGTATTGGTAGGAAACATAAAGAAATCTAGATATGGTCATCATAATGGAAGTATAAATCAGTATGGTTTCACCTTTCAGCTCATAGAATGAATTCTTTTGGTATTGAGATCAAAAATTGACCAAGATAATTCTGCCTTTAGCATAGGCACATATTTCTGTTGTGAAGTAGAAGCTTCATATTCTGAAAGAAAGGTGCTGTCCCAGTTCTTGCTGTCCTGCATACTTTGCCATTAGATTGGAATGTTAACCTTGACCACAAATTTCTGTTCATTTTCACCAGAGCATGTTGATTTCAGAGTTGCTGCTCAGCATGGCTGAACAAAATCTTGAATTCAGGCACTAGTGTGTCATGGACAAAAGCTTTGCTGTTCGTGGAATGACATTGTGCATTAGGATAACTAGAATGAGGGAGTAGCCAGTAAAGGATTAACTTTAATTCTTATTAACAGGGGATGAGAAGTCTGCATGGCAGAAAAAGGAAGGTTTTACTTTTGTTTGTTTGTTTTGCTTTGTGTGACAGTTTTCCCCCTTTTTTCAAACACATTCAAGTTAGATCTATCAAGTGACCTGGGTACTGCATAGAGTTGTTAAATGTTTCTGTGGTGAAGACTGGGTGTGCAATTATACCAGGTTAGTCTGACAGAAGTAGCAATTCTACAGCTTTGAATGAAGTCACCTTATAATTTGAACTGAAAGATATATTCAATATTCGAGTTTCTAGCAAGAACAGTGAATTGCCTTTAAAACTTAAATGTTTGGACAGTAATCAATTAATAAGGAAATACATTGGCAATCTAAAATCTAATTGAACAAGTTAATCCAAGCAGAAAGGGAGACTTATAACCACTTTTTAAGTTGCAATAGTTCTTACAGAATTTTTTTTTTTTTTTACATTTCATTTGGGATAATTCAAGAAGTCTATCAAACATTCTGCACTTTGTATCACACATACTGTTTATATTTTCTAGAACTATAAGCGTAAGGTTCATAGATTTTAAGTTTTGTCTTCACTACGGACTGCTCTGTTTCATTGTCAAAGCCTCTGTGCTTGCTCCTCAATAAATCAGAAGCATGTGGTGTAATTAGGAATCTTTCCAAATACAGAGATGGCACTTTTAAGACACTGAGCACATTTGCATATCCATCTCTGCACAGAAGATCACATCTACTGTTAGGTTACTGCAGTGACATTTAAGCATTTGTACTACAGGTAAGAATAATTTGCGAAGAAGAGAATTTGTGGTTGGATTACTTCAAATTTAACAGCTGCCAGACTGTCTTTTTTCAACAGATTCATTCCTTTTCTATGTCTAGTTAACGAACCACAACTTACACTAATCAGGTTATTAAACCACTTTTAATTTGAAATACAGAAGTTGTGTTTAGAAATTAGTGTTTTGTTTTTTTGTTTTCTTATAGTGGTGAAACTAATATTCAACAATGATAGATCAATGTTAATAGTTTTGCATCATCCAAATTGCTAGTATTCTGCAAACAATAGTGAAATACTGTGAAATTGTTTTAAAAGTACATTTGTACATCTATTTATCCTTTTATGTTTGAGTTTTATAAGGCACTTTGGTAGCAGAGTGCAGTAGCGATACTGCTATAGCAGTTACCAGCAATAAATGGGCATATCCATCCATGATGTATTTCCTAATGAATAGGTGGAAGTCTGACACTAAAAGGGAAACAGATTGTAAACGAAGGGTAGAAAAATCTAAAGGCAGAATATTTAGAAGTAGTTACTGCTCAGCATTGGCATAGATGCAATTGCTACCTTTGCAAAATTACTGTGCAGCATTTTCCTGTGCTTTATTTCCAATTAGCATGTCTTGTCTACAAAACTCTAGACTACAGTCTACAGAACAAAGTTTGTAGATACTTTCTACAAAGTTATCTGTGTTCTTTCTTATAGCATGCAGATAACTTTGAGTTTACCATCATAAAACTCATTGCTAACAATGAGGAGTAATTAGCTTAACACATACTACATTCTGACAGTATTTTTGTGCTACACAACTCACTTGTTTGTGGATCTTAGTAGAATGAAAATCTTTTTGTGGAATCTGATGAACTATTTAAAAATAGCTTTTGTTTAGGGTTGCAGCCTGCATGCGTGATAGTTAAGTACTGTACTTCCTTAATAACTTTCATAATTCTCAATTCATTATCAGTTACAGTCGGGTGAGATGGCTTGTTGAAAATCAACTTGCAAGCCAGTGAAAAGAGAGAAAGAGATAACTTTGCTCTATTAAGTCCCACTTAAAGAGGATTAGCTTTTGGATTGAAAGCCTTACCTCAATGCTATGTGAAGGATAAGGAAGTTATCTTCTTTGATGCAGGAGAAAGACTACGGATCCTCTCCACCCTCATAAGGCTAAATTGCTAAATGTTTCCCTATAATTGCTTCTAATAGAAGAGAGATACTGGTCATGCTGTGCAATATTTATAATGTGTTTTGTCAGTAAGAGAAATTGCTAGCATTGTTAGAGAGTCTTGCAGATTAAATGCAATGATGTGCATTTGTCGTCTCTACTGAACCACCCTTGCTTTTTCCACACACATGATTTCTCTAAGTTCCTGTCAGCCTTCTTTCCCCTTTCCCTGTCTTTCTCTCAAGGCCACTAACACTTAACATCCATCAGGATATTGTACTAGACCTGACCTACAGGATCAGGTATCCTATCCATGCTGTCTGTCCCTACATCCTTGTTTGTCTTCTAACCATCCAACATGTTGTGTTCTGGAACAAATGGGAGTGTGGCAACCCCTAGACAAAGCTTGAATATGGAGTTTCCAAGCCCTTAATTCCTCATTTCTTATAGCATTCTTCATGTTGTCTTCATCCTGCCCCTGACACTAGCTTTTGCAGAAATTCAAGCAGTGACTTATGTAAGTAGGCATGTGATCCATAGATGTGATTATGTAGCCCAGCAGAGTTGCAGGGACAGAAATACTCTGAACTTCCCAAGAACTTTCTGGAAATCTCTTTTGGGAGCCTGTTATGCAGATATTCTTGATTTTAGTCACTAAAGAATCAGCATCTTTAGGGGAAGGCATGATTTAAAAAATATGTTTGGGCAAGTGAAGTTATCCATGCAGCTATATTTGAAGTTGTGAGGTATGTCTAATTAAATGTCTTTATCATTTTACAGTGATGATGAATACTTATTAAATGGTTTTGTTATTTTAACTGCATTGAGAACTAACCTACATGTGTTTTAAATATTGGCATACATATGTGAAGCAGTATGTATGTAGTTAAGGGTTTCTTGAATCATACTGGCTTACACTAATTTTTTTTCCTTCCTATTTGTGACAGATGGGAAGTATGCAAGGAGTCATTTCCCAACTAAAATACAGCAATCTTAATTCAATCACTGATTTAATCACTCATTGCTCAGAAAGTCAGAATTCCAATGGTTGCCAAGTCAAGTTACAGAGCCCCTGTTTTTAAAAATTATTCATCTGCTGTCATTAATAGTTAAAAGTTATTGCCCATTAAAGAGTCCCCATTAAAGAATATTCTGTTACAATATTCACAGCAATTAAGGGGCAAGATTAAGTAAATTCAGGGGGAAACAAGAGATTATGGAGAAAATAAGCATTGCCTCAAGTGCCCTATTAAGTCCCACTCTTTACACGACAGTGGGTTCTTGTATACGGTTAAGTATAGATTTTTTCCCCTGAGTTAGATACTCCAATGTTTTGGAGGTAATTTAACATAAATTAGGAAATTAATTCTTACTTCTTTTGTTGTCTCAGAATTGTATTACACAGCAGAAGTTTGGTGTGTACTAAAAGTATGTAGAAAAGTGATTCCTGATATGTTTTGAAAAATTACATTATTCCTTGACTGTTTTGGTTATTGATTTTTATCTTCATGGCTGCATTACCAGGAACCAAATAATTGTATGTAATTTTGCACTTAGCTGTCACAGATCTGTTAGTCATACTTTGGTTTCAACTTTTGGAGAATAAATACATTCTTAGCGCAAAATTAGTATATGAATTAATACTAGCATATTCACAGCAAACAAAACTTTCATCTCTTTTAGAAAATTGAAAATGGAAGATTTGCAAAACTGAGATACATTGCACATGCTATGGTCAACAGCACAGATCTGTTAATGGTTACAAAAAGGTAAACAGTTTTTACTCTGAATAGTAAGTACTTAAAACTATCATCAAAATGTTCATACCTTGATAATTGTTGACTAGTAACTGTGCTGTCATCATGTATGTAGATAAAATAACGGGGAAGGCATGCTTAGTAGTGTGCGGTTAATAATATTGTTCGACTGTGGGATTGTTCAGCACAAGAGTGTTGTTTTGAGTGTCAAAGTAATTTCTCTATTTAAGGAGAGAAGCGGAATATTGGTCTTTAGCTGAGAAGGATTTGTTATAAATCTGAGTAGGCTGAAGTCAGTAGAACTTATGGGATTCCCTTATAAATTAGCATATTGAAGGAAAAATGGGTAATACAGGAACAGAGTGAATAATGTCTAACAGTGGAGTAGCAGGCATTCTTCTCAAATAGGAATTCAGTGCATCTTTTTGTAGAAATACAGCTAGAAGCAGTGTTACGGTTTTGCTATAAGATATAGTATTTTAAATAAGAGGAAGATTCAAAATCTGGTCTTTTATGGTTGTTATGTATCATTAGATGAGAACTATTTTGGAACAATTAATAACTTCACCAGATCTAGGGTTACTTAACTTTTAAGTATTTTTACACTAATTTTAAAATTATTTCATTTTCTCATACATAGCGGTGTGTTATTTGTGACAAAGGGGACATTTGGACAGCTGACATGTGAATGGCAATACACTTATGATGAATTTACCAAAGAACCATTCATCGTTGATGGCAGAAGATTACGCATTGAAGCCAAGGTATGTTAACTTAATGTTTTGTTTTCTTTTTTTCTTACTGTTTATAAAATTGAACTTGGAATTCTTGATCTCTAGCCTTTGAATTCTTGATCTCTCTTCTAGTTTAGATGCTTAGAGAAGGGAATTGAAACTTGTCATGGGCAAACTCCACATATAACTAGCTTCTGACTGTTCTAAGCAGAATGGTGACTTGGTGTTTGCAGATGAAAGTATTCCTTGAACCCTGGGAATTTTTTTTTTTGGTACGCATCACTTCGTGGTGTATTCATAGTTTGTAAAATGGTGATACAACAAAACTCTCAGAAGACTGCAGAGTACTTTTATTATGCACTCTGTCACTGTGGAAATATGCTAACGTTAGCCTTCTACCTTGTGGTGATCCCAAAATTTTGAATACATCAGAGCAATACATTTGCATGTACTATGCATCAAAGAGATTTTTTTTTTTTAATTTGCTAGTAACCAAATTCTGCAAAAGTGTAATAAAGTATTCATATCTTTATAAAAAAATGTAATTACATATGCTTATCCCTTTCAATGCAAACTGAAGAATGTTGCTCTCAATTGCAGTTTTCCTTTAAACAATCCCAAAAATTTCTTTCCCTGGTAAACGATCAAAGGCCATAAGGAGAAAGATGACCACTGGTGACTGAGTGTACTTAGAGAGGCAAAGTTCATTTTAAAAAAAAAAAATTACCTCTTAAATTCTTGTTGAGATGGTAACTGAATTTAATTTCAGTCAATGAATTTAACTGTCAGTGTTTTGTATTCTTTCTGGTTTTTATAAGCTTCATATGTGTAATTACACATATTGGTTGTCAGGACAGTCTTGACAGTGTACAAAGTCATTCACTTTTTCACTCAGATTATTTGTTTCTATTGCAGAGAGCATGAAAGGCAGAGCCATATTGGTTTGGAATCCTCCAAACTGGATTTCTGACTGCAAGTGAACTTTTACAGGATGAAATAATTCTTAGAGCCATTTCAGACAATGCTGAATAACATATCCATCTTTACCCCTACACAGCAGTCATTTCAGAGTCCATTAACATATCTGTAGTATGGTCTTTTTTGAAATGTATGGTTGAAAACCGATTTTACAAATCACTGCTTATGTTCTGTTTCTGAAGCCTAAGTTGCTAACACTATTACTTGCAAGTCAGTATTGGTGGAATGTCCCCTCAAGTAATGACTTAAAGGTGAAAGACAAATTACAATCTTAGGGAGTACTGGATTTTGTTACCCCACATACTCCATTATGTGCCTTCCATTCCTGCACAGTTTTATAGTCCATTCTCCAGGGACTCCATTGTAAGGGAAGTCTGTTATTGCTTGAGCGTTACACTCTACTGTGCTTCCATGCAGAAAATGAAGTTTCTCAGGGTGTGTGCATGCAATGTGAACATACTCAGATCAGTGTAATGGCTGGCTGAACCAAGTAGCTATATAGCTGCCTTAATGGTAAATACCTTCTTAGTTGTAAGACTGAAGGAATACATTCAATTTTGAATTACCTTTTTTATTTTTTTCTTTTAATCTTTTTTAGGAGCGAGTTAAGTCTGTGTTCCATGCCAAAGAATTTGGAAAAATTATTAATTTTAAAACTCCAGAGGATGCTAAGGTAAAATCAAGATACTATTACAATTATACTCTGCTAAATTTGGCTTAAAAAGTGAAACATTCTTAACCTGAAACTACTATGTATATTTAAAGTTCAGCATTTCCACACAGCCATGACACAGATGGAAATGACAATGACCTATTCAGTACTGAATTTAAAAAATACTCGAGTACCAAGCTTTTCACTTCACTGTAAACTTCAAAACTATAAGTGTCAAACAGCTGATTTAACAGTACTACTAACAAAAAATAAGCAGTCAAGAATGTGAATTAAAATAGTACGTTTTAATAGAACAAACAGTATTTGTAAATTACTCTTAGTTTTATTCCAGGTGGATGGGGAGGTGAGGTGTCATTCCTCTGTTCCTCAGTATATAGTTTTGGTTGAAGGAAGAAGAAAATCCCGAATAGAAACACAAATCTTTTATTTGATATGATACATGGCCTCTTCATTTTGACATCACTAGTTTTGACTACAACAGAGAGGAGTGGTTCAGGTCTGCTACCAGAACAATGAGGTAGCTGGGATGCAAAAGTTCTGCTTTGTTCTTCTTAGCAGAGCTAATTATTTTCATAAACAGTAGATTAGTTGTGTATACATTCACACCAGTGGGATATAGTACTCCAGGATCACACTTTGAAACAGTCTGTGAAAGTTGCATCCTCTTATTTGAGTTGCTTTTGCATCTTTGCATCTGCTTTTGTCTTCATGAGCATCGTTTCTAACCACAGCTGAGTTATAACGTTTGACTCTTACCTCAAAAAGCATTACAAATACACCCCATGCTGACTTGTCCATACTCTTTGGAGGTACTGAGTTTTTTGTTTTTTGGGGTTTTTTTTTTTTTTGGCTGTCCAGTGAGTAGTCTGTGTGGGAAGGAAATCTCATCTGTGCCCCAGCTAAATCAATTAATGCATCATACTGTGTATGCCATAAGTCTTAGGAAAAGAAAGCTAAAAAACTTCTCACAGAAATGCTGGCTTGTGTATTTTCCTAGAAAGGCCCATGAACCTTACAAAACCACCAGGAATGTGAATATGAAGGGAAATGTCACTGTCAGACAGGCTTGGTAAGGAATGTGGTTTTATCTTAGAGCAGGAATACTTCCCTAGAAAATTCATTAATCGAAAGTTTCATTCAAAAAATTGTCAGGGCCTTAGGGGCTATCCTGCAAAAGAAAGCCTTTTGAGAGTTGCTTCTGGGTGTTGTTTAGGCTATGGCTTATTTGTGCAAATCTGACATCTGTGCTGTGTATATAGAGAGATGATATTGAGGGAAGTGTTTTAAGAGTACTGAAAACGAAACTTGCACTCTTAATAATAAGGAGGTTATGAGGTCATTTCAGTGACACTGCATTGTGAACACTGTCAGTCTACTGGACACTACAAGGTGTTCCATCTGTGAGAAGTGCCAATTCAGCAATTTCTTTCTTGCCAGTTCTTCTTTCAAATCTTCAGCAACCTGCTGAA